CGACTGAGCGCAGATTAAAAAAAAAAAAAAAGCATGACCTAACATACAAGATCTAGTCACCTGAAGAAAAAGGAAAATATATTTAATGAATAAATTCAATAGGCACAGTTGAAAGTGATTTGGAAGAACTACATCAGAGGTCCTGCAGCACCTCTCTGGTACTAATTAAAGTAGCTTGATTTTTTCAGGCTTTTGGCCAAAGTGCCTTTTGAAAAAAATGGGTCCTTTATGGAATCTTAAAGCAGCAGCACCTGTTTTTTTTCAGGCTCACACAGAAGCCTGAAAGAAATCAGGTTGCTTTAAAGAGTACCATAGAGGTATTGCATTCATAGGATCTCTGATGCAGTTCTTCCTAACCATTTTCAAAGTGTGCATAGTCCTGATCTATACTACCTTTGCTTCAGTTCAAGTTCTGTATACACCCTTCTTCTTTACTTTCCAGTCTGCTCTACCTTTGGACCCATCTCCCTGCCTGAAGAGATGATAATGAGCTCAGTATCCCTACCTGCCAGTACCTCCCACCTATTTTTGTCTCTATTTAAGACCGAAGCATAGGGGATACTCAATTAGTATCCCATACAACTGAGAAGAGAACAGACCATCAAGACCAATGCCCAGAAAACATGTCTAGAGAAGAGATGTAGACAACCAATGTTGGATCAATGTTTTTCAAACTTGGCAACTTTAAGATGTGTGGACTTCAACTCCCAGAATTCCCTGCACAGCATAAAAAACACTGATCTAGATGCTTTTGATATCATCTTCCACCACTCCTTATTGCTTATGCTGATTGAGACTGTTAGAAGTAAAGATTAAAACATCTATCTCTGCTCTAAGACATCTCTCTGTGGGATTGTATGTGGAAGGAGATGGGGCATGCATCTGTGGGTGATCTGCCCTTAACCTTATTTTTCATGTTGATACCTCTATACCCCTTGTATAATAGTACCAGGACAGATTTATTTAATTTATATTCTACCTCTCATTGACAAGCTAAGGTAGCATTCATAGCACTATACTTGGACTATTCCCCTCAACAACCCTATGAGGTAGGTTGGCCAGAGAAAACTGACCTATCCAAGGTTACCTAGTGAGTTTCCATGGCTGAGGGTAACCTGGATTGGGGCCTCCCCTCTCTTAGTTCAACAGCTTAACCACTACACTACACTTCATTGTGTAATATACTATTTTTCTTAAATTCAGTTATGTTTTAAGGAACAGAGCTACATTCATAAAGTATAAACACATGGGGGTGGGTTGCAGAACCAAAGGTCTTGGGAGGAGAATTAAGTCCTCCCACTGCATGTGTTGGTCTCAGTCTGGACCAGGCCTTAGGATATATGTATTAAGGTAGAAAAAAATGTGGGTCACCTGCAAGCTGCATATCTACTGTATCATGTAGTTTAAACTTTGTGCCATTGCAAAGAAAGAGGATGGGAAGAAAACCGGAATTAGTTGGTTCTCCCAATCATTGGCTGCTCTTTCTTCTTCCCAACAGGCATCGTGTCACTGATCTTGATGCCCTAGTTAAAATTTCTTGAGACTCCCTTGCTACTTAAATGATAAATAATCTTTTGAATAAAAGGAACATTTCCTGAGGATCTAAATCCTTTATTCTATTCACAGTGACTGATCTTAGCTGTTTCTCCCCATTTCCCAGGAACATAACTATATTTGTTCAGAAGCCCAAGAAAGAGTGGTATTGTGTTCCTAATGACAGACCCAATTGAATTCAACTACTTTTGGAAGAAAACCAGATGGGGAAGGCACTGTTTGAGGTCATGCATTTTAATCTCTTGCATTAAAAAAAAAGGCAAAAATCCTTCACAGCTGAGTCTCTGGAAATTCATTACCAACAATTGGCAAATTAGAAGAGGCCTTGCCAAGGGCACCAGCTCAAACACTTCCAGAAGAATGGTACTTTGTGAAATATAAGTCATCAACAAGGGAAATAGCCTGACTAAAAAGGGTGTTCCTGCAACATTGTTTGTCTGTTATGTAATCCCTGATTTTTATAAATAAGAACATACAGGCAGCATTAAAGAAGAAATCCTATTATACAAAATTTGGAATATCAAAGAATCTCTGTTTATCTTCCTCAGTCTGGAATTCCATCTCATTAAAATCTTGTTTTCCCCACAGCTCTAGCTGGGAGCTTTTTAGAAAGTTTTAAGCAGTTAAATGAGGTTCAATTAAATTCTGAAAATCGCCTTCATAAAATACTTATTGAAATGGTACCAAGGGAGCTGTCTGAAAGGAAATATTAGAATAGGGAGGACACAGGAAGAGTTTTTTTTTAAAGCTACATTACTTTAGTGTGAAGAGTTAATTATACAACTTCTAAAATAAACTGATTTCTAGATTCTTTTAGGGTTTTCTTAAAGAATGAAAAGCAATCAGCTCAGTTCTGATAATGAAGTCACTAATATTACAAGAGTTAAATATGAAACAATAAAAACTGGCTGTGTTCTGTCAGTACACTTACCCATGGTTTGCTTAATCATGGTGTACTCAGTGAACTCAATGTGGGCACGAACTAGGCTAAAATGTGTCTTGCTTGATTGTGATTCAGTGTAGTACATGAAAAAAGCCAGTGTGACAAACTCTTCTAGATCTGAAGGACTCGTTCTAGCTTCTGAAAAAAGAAAGAAATGTAATAGGGATCTTTTCTCTCTCATATGTCGTTATCAAGTTTGCTATACCAATTTTATAACTATAGATTCACTCATTGCATTAAGCCATAGTTAGTTCATTATGATTTATTGAATGCATAGTAACTAGCTATGTTCACATGCTAAATCTAACAAATTCACCATAAATAAGATTCAGCATCCTAGAGGAGCCTCCACTCTTAGACATATTTACTTGGGAGTAGCTCCTATAATTGCAGAACCATAGACTTGTTCTCATTTCAGTTCTCTACAAGCTTGTCAGCTTTGTTTTTAGAGCTTCTTTATTTCTTTTTGAAGCCTGTTATGCACACCTGGATTACAGAGAATGAGGGAGCAATGCACTGAATCTCTTCGCTTGATTACTCTTAAGAACAAGTAAAGGGAAAGTTACATGAAAGATTGCAGCTCTTAAATTTTTGTATATTCCAAAGATCAATGCAATAGTGAATTATTTTGCCAGAAATTGGGGGTGGAAGCAGGGCACCTATGGGGGAAGGGGAGTGTCAAGATGGTGGCCATGTCCAAACAGCCTAAGCCCCGCTCTTTTTTTATGTGCAGTGCACGCTCATGGCTGCCATCTTTTTTGAACCTCCCCCAGCGACACCTATGTGTAGAGGGAAAGATTAGAAGTCTATTGTACTACAAACTGTGTTTGGTTGTGGGAGATTTTCCCCTTTTTCTCATCTTTCCAGAACAAAAAGTACTAATGTAAAATACTAATAAAAACATAATTTATTGATTGGAAGTAATGAGATGAATGAAATTAGAGTTATAAAACTGAAGGCTTTATTCTGCACTAAGATAGGCATAAATAAGTAGTCAAGTACTTTAAATCACATGGCGCTACTCCAGCTGTCCTAGTCTGATCCCTCTGAGGGTGCTGGGCACATAACTCCAAAATTCCCAAACAGCAAGGCCAGTCCATGGGGAGGCACAATGTTGGAGAGAACAGTATTAGCTTCCAGAGATGATGTTTTGAATTGGGGGGATCAAAGGATGCTAACTGTGCTCTTGGTCACTCAGTTGTCTAAGACAGCATGGTGGAGATTCACCCATAGGTGTAGTTTGGATGCATCTCTGCTGGATATAACTCAAATAGGAGGCATATTACATCATGCAGTAGTTTAGCCTTCCCTCCCCTGGTGTCCTCCAGATGTTTTGGAACTCAAATTCCCAGAATTCCTAACTACCACAACCTAGAATTCTGGGAATTGAAGTCCAGCACATCTTTTAAAACTACTTGTATTATATCAGGCAAACTAGGCATGTAATTGTGATTATAACGTGATACAACACTAACATTTTAAAAAAGAAAGAGGGAAGAAAAGCCCAGAATAAGCATACAACTCCTCAAAATTTGATCAAATCATTTGAAACTTTTCTTCTTTGACCCTTCCTCACCTTCCATTGGCTGTTTTCCATGTACAAAATGTACATAATTCTTGGTATCTTTGTTCCAAATACTGAGGTTATAGTCTAAAAGAGCATATGCATCTTTGAAAAGCAGCTATTGTTCTAAAGTCATGTTAACCATCTTTCTGATGGCAATAGTAGGATAAGCATGTCAGAAAACGACAGACATGGGTTCGGTTGTCCAGTAGA